CTTTTAAATCGAGTTACCTTTTACACTGGCTGCTGACATTTGGCCCTAACAATGGGGTCACCTAACAGTTTCCCTATTCCAGATTTTGATATGTTGACCAAAATGTTTGCTAGTGTCCTGCAGCGTTCATGTGAAAAAGGAGATTCAACAAAACTCTACTACTCTGCATTCACTTGGAATCGAGTATGACAATCATCCAGCTATAATACAATGGTATGAGTTATTAAGGATGTCACCTTCGTTGGTGAGCTCTGTGGTGACTCGAGAGGCCGGTACGGGACCGGCAGAATCACCCACAGATGTTACACGTGTAGAGGGCTACATCTAGTGCGGGAGGGGTGACGGAAGCGTCTTACCAGCGTTCGCGCTTGTCTGCCTTGGTAGGCAGTCGGGCTATCCTCGAAAGTATTGACACCTTCTCGTATGGTGCTCTTCCAAGCGTTACGGTGTGGAGTGATCGTTTCCCAGGTGAGGGGATCGATTTGGCACTTTTCTTAAGACTATCCTTACATCTTTTCATTTGCCCGCCAATGTTACACTTAATATTCGTTAGGTGACTTTAAAGTCGCTGCTTTGGTTGTCTACAGTACTGTCGTCCATACGAGTAACATGACCAGTCCAACATCGTTGATCATGGATAATGGTAGCCTCGATGCTCCTACAGTTGGTGTCAGCGAGAAAACTGGCATTTGTTGTCTTGTCTTCCCAACGAACTCGGGGGATGGAACGTAGACTACTGTAAGTTGGTGAAAGTTTTCAAGTGCCTTGAGGTGCCTCCTGTATGTGACCCATGTCTCGCTACAATATAGCAGGGTAGGGAGGACCACTGCTCGATATACGTGCAACTTGGTAGATAATTTCAGCTCCCTACAGCTAAAGACACGGCGGATACGGAGTCTGCCAAAGGCTTGAGATGCACATCTGATCTGATGTTGAATCTCTGTCCACGGTGGTGGACAGGTGGGAGTCGAAATACTGAAAGTGGGTAACATTAGAGAGGGTAGTACCGTTAAGCTGGATGGATGGTGGAGGTGTGGGTGAACCAGGGGCAGGCTGAAAGCGAATCTGAGTCTTACCTCGAGGCCGAAGTGTGCATATGCATCTGCTTAGGTGTTCAAGATCTTCTGTAGGTCGCGTTTAGTGTCAGCAACAAGGGTGAGGTTGTCTGCATATTGAAATTCAGTAATGGAAGCTGCCATAACCTTTGTTCCTGCCTGGAGTTGTCTTATGTTGAAAAGACCCTTTATACGGTATTGAATGTTCACCCAGCCGGCTAAATTGGCACTGGCACGATTAAGGAAGGCAGCCAAGAATATGAAAAAGAGAGTTGGTCCCACCGCTCATCCTTGTTTTACCCCCGTTTGGATGGGGAAGAACTCAGACTTGAAGCCATTGTACAGGACACTGCCGTTCATGCCATTGTGACGTTGCCTCACAATGGCAATGAATTTTAGTGGGCAGTCAAAACGGCTGAGGATCTGCCAGAGGGCTTCCCTGTTGACCGATCGAAGGCATTGGTTAGGTAGATGAAGGCCATGTACGGGTCACGATGCTGTTCTCTGCACTTTTCCTGCATCTGGTGGGCAGCAAAGATCATGTCAGTGGTGCCACGTGATGGTCTATCTAAAGGCATATTGAGATTCTGGGAGGAAGTTTTCCGCCTTAGGAAAAAGTGTGTTTATGAGGACTCGGACGATAATATTGCCAGCTACGGCCAGGAGCGAGATACCACAGTAGTTGCTATAGTCTAACCGGTCTCCCTTATTCTTATAAATATTGACAATGGACGCATCTTTTAGAGCTTGGGGGATTTCCTCTTTTTCCCATATATTCTCCAGGGGAGAGTGGAAACGGCTGGTAAGCAGAGGTTCTCCTGCTTTATACACCTCGGCTGGGATTCCATCAGACCCAGCGGCTTCGTTATCTTTCATCTAGCAGTAGGTACCTCATCAAGAGATAGAGGATAGTTGAGGTGGGTCAGCTCTGGATGCTGAGTGACCTGCTGGGGTAATCATCCACATCACTGTTTCGGTGAAGCAGTGAATGGTAGTGTTCTTTCCAGCAAGAAGGATGCCTTCTTTGTCTTTAATTAGGGAGTTACCTTCGGAGGAGCGGGGAGGGGCTGCGCCATGAGTGATTGGCCCATAAAATGTTTTAGTGAAATTTACAAATTTCGGCATCTTGTGTTTATCTGCAAATTTGCATTTCACATACTTTATTTTTCAACCAGTTGTTCTTTAGATTGTGAAGTTCCCGTTGGATCACCGCTTTCTTCTTGTGCAAGTTTCAGCTTTGATCTGAGACTGAGGGTTGTTCTGCCAGTCAGTTAAAGCAGCACGTTCTTGTCGACTAGTCTGCTGATTTCCGGGTCAGTTTCATGAAACCGGTCCCGTTGCATTTTTTCGATCTGGTCGAGGATCTCTCTACAGGTTTTTGCCATGCCAGAGGCAATAATACCCTATTTAACATTGGGATTTGGGTTGTTTGTAGTCGGGTTGTTTATTAGCCTATGTTCGAGCTGCTCTCTGAAAGCATGTGCTACCGCTGGATCCTCCAGATGCTTAGTGTTAAAACCTTTTCTAGAGGCGTGTTGCCTTTGCCATTATGGGGTGAGGTGATAGTGAGAGATTGGCTTTGGCGAGCCGATGATCAGGGTCACAGTGGTCTGACCCACGCATGGCAATGGTGATGAGGACATCTAGGCCATCTCTTTCTCTGACAATGATGTAGTCAATGAGATGCCAGTGTTTGGATCGTGGGTGTTGCCACGAACCCTTGAACTTGTCGGCCTGCTTAAACAAGTTATTGTTGATAGTGAGGTTGTGTGTAGGACACTTGCTGAAGAAGAGTAGACCGTTGGGATTACACTTGCCTAGTCCATTACTCCCTCTAATTCCCTACCACATGTCAGGATCTCTGCCAACTCTGGCGTAGAAGTCACCTAAGAACAGAACCTTATCCTCTCTGGGGATAGAGGTTAGCATTCAGTCAAGTTCGGCATAAAAGGCCTCCTTGATGTCATTTTCTGCACAAAAAAGGCATGACGTGAGTGAATCAGTGGAACTCGGAGCGTCATGAGGCGCTCGTTGATCCTAATAAGCTTTTCAGTTAGCCTATGTAGGATGCATTGGCGGATGGCATAGCCAACTCCATAAATGCGTTTTCTCTCCGCAGCAGGCTTACCCCTCCAGAAGAAGGTATAGCCAGACCCCGTTCTGTGAGTTATACCTAGCCAGTTCTTTTGCCACAAGGGCGGTTCCTCTTTCAGGACGCTCATTTGTGTCAATATCCAGAAGGGTCCTTATATTCCATACAGTGACCATAAGTGGTTGTATAGGTTGTTTTTGTTTTGATCTGTGATTAATTGTGATTGTGTTTTCGACCGCATAAGGATGACCAAACTGGGTGCAGTTGCCTACTCAGGTTTTTTTTTTTTAGGAAGGCTATGTTTAGAGCACCTTTTCTAGCCCCCTCCCCATGTGGGGTGAGCAGTGGCTCCTTGAAAGGGCTGCTCAGCCGTACAGACAGGACCGGATTGCACTACTGCATAGATCACAGTGCACAAACGACCATCTTATCTGTGCCGCCCATGTGCAGAGTTGTAACTAGAGACTCTCGGCATTCATCTCTGCCTGTCCCCGCCGCCACTCGTCCGTCGCCATAGGACTTTTGGGAGTATAGGGGTTTTGGTGATGATGAGAAGTATAATGAAATGAATGATGGATGTGCGCGAGTTGATTTATGTAGTGAGGCAGGAGCGCAGGCTGCAACCACATATCTTGGGTCTCCCTTTTCCTGATCCAGTGATGTAAGTGTTGCAACAACTGGGGAGAGGGTGATTTGTAATGGACCACCGATCGCCCAATTTGTTGGGTTTCGCCTTAGTAGCCTGTCCATCTTGCATTACCTTCAACCACCGGAGTAGTTATTGGATTCCCATGTTTGTTACCTCTTCCTCCTATACAGCCGTTGAGGTCTTACTGGCTGTTATGACCCTAGGGTAGAGCGTTACATAAACACAATTCGCTTAAGTCTTTCAAATACATCAGTATTTAATATTTCATTCTAAATCCCAACTTCTCCCATCACAGGTTCAAGTTAATAGGTCAAAACCCAAACAAGTCAATAAAAATACGAAAATTTATTACTTATTCCCACCATCACATATGTACATAAAATAAAATAAATAACAATAATAATAAGACGTAGATGTTTGGAAGTGACTGAGTAAAGACTGAAGGTCCAACAAGATCACACAAAATGAATATCAAGCAAAACAAATTTCAAAAGACAAATGCCAACTCCCAGAACACCAGAGAGAGGGTATAGTACTTAACTTAAGACAGCTGTGCCTAGACTGACTAGAGTGTACCGGTATGTCACCAACGTCACCTCTCTACCGTCAAATACTGATATACTGTACTTCATCCTGATTGGCCAAAACGTATACTTTATCTAAATTACCTATTGACATTAGTTCCAGTTATCTAACTTATGTACAAACCTAATATAATAAAAAATACAATAAAACATAATACAATGTAATAAATAAAGTTAATGCTTATATAAGGGCTCAGTTGGTGTGGGTAGTAGTGAGCGAAGCTGCCCAAGCCACCCACATACCATCCGAAACAACGAATTTCATACAAAGAACAAAAACTAATGGCGGATACTCGGAACATCCCTCTCCTTTTCTAAAAAGTTCCGAACAAAAGGAGAAAGCTTTTATACATCATGGGACAGGGTGTCTGCCAAAAGATCGTCTTTCCCTTTAATAGGTTTCAGTTCAATATTGAAGAGCTGCTGTGCTAAAGCTCACCTAAGTAACCTTGGATTTTTATTTCTCATCCTCTGTACAAATTGTAAAGGATTATAATCTGTATACACCTCTATGGTATATAGTGAACCCTCAACATACACTGCAAACTTTTCTAAAGCCAAGAAAAGTCCCAAAGCCTCCTTTTCTATTGTAGCATAACCACGCTGATACAGTTTCAGTTTCACACTGTGGAAGCAAACTGGGTGTAGTATACCTTTTTCAACTCTAGCAACACAGCACCCACATCACAGGCATCATCTTGAATCACAAAAGGATTGTCCAAATCTGGCACTTTTAACACTGGACTGGAGGTTAATAGATGCTTAAGGGTTTCAAATGCAACCTGACATGCTTTTGTCCACAAATATCTCCTTTTTGGGCTGACTAAGTCTGTCAAAGGAAGCGACACTTGCGCATAGTTCTTGCAAAACCTTCGGTAGAATTCTGTTATACTGAGGAACCTACGCAAAGCCTTTCGATCTGCAGGAGGCGTGAGTCGCTGTAGAGCCTCTCTCTTTGCACCTACCTTGGCCCACCACATGGCCAAGCTAGGTGAGGATTACATGGCCAAACTCACTTTTAGCCAGGTTGTCAGTGAAGTTGTACTCCGACAGGCGGGCGAAAAGTGGACGAAGTCGCTCCGTGTGTTCTTCTCAAGTAACTGCTGTCACTAGTAAGTCTTCCAGGTAGGCACAGACACCAGCCCTTTGGAATGTCCCAGGAGCACTGCGAAGCCCAAAGGGGAGGACTTTGTACTGCCAAAGCCCATCAGGAGTGACGAAGGCAGTAATTCTCTTGGATTCCTCCGTCAGCTTCACTTGATAGTACCCCTTCATCAGATCGAGCTTCTTGATGAACTTTCCCTGCCCGATGCTGTCAAGTATGTAGTCTATACGAGGGAGAGAATAGGAGTCAGCCCTGGTCACATCATTTACCCGTCTGTAGTCTGTACACATGCGGAAGGAGTCGTCGGATTTTGACACCAGCACGCATGGTGACGCCCAGTCACTGTCGCTTGGTTCGAGGAGTTTGGTTTGAAGCGAATAGTCCAGTTCCTTCCTCAGAATGATCCTCTTGACATCTTCTACCCGTAGCTGTGAGAGATGTAAAACTTTAGAAGAGGTATCATCTAAAGTCTGTGAATTGTATAGATTAACTGGAACCTCCCCCAGGAAATCTTGCTCTTGTTCCTGTGGCTCCTGGGTCTCCATAAAACATACAATCGCTTCCATGGAGTACTAGAGCTTCCGCCTATTCACATGCCAGTCTTCCCCAGCAGGTACTGAAGGTGGTCTAAATTTCCTCATCAATAGGCCAGAGTCAGAATAGTAACAAACAGGCAAGTTATCAGCTTCCTCCTTGCTTACAGCACTGTTACTCAGCTCTAACAACTCTGGATCACTTTCCTGATCAGAAATAAATTTTTCCTATTTATGGGTACTTGTTCTATAGGGTTTACATCAATAATCAACGTTAAATCAACACTAGATGAGAGCGAGTTGTCAAATACGTCACCAGTGACTACAGGGGGATTATCGCCGCTGTCGCTACTGGCTTCCGTCAAATACGAGTCTCTGTCATTAACAGAGTTGTCTTGCGACACATATAGGTCCCTAATATCAAAGTCATTTACATCACAAACTGCGCCACTTGTGTCAGCTACATTATGAACAGGGTCAACGCGAGTATTCTGCTCTTCTCTAAGCGACATACTGTTCTTCAAGCAATTTAGTGTTATTGTCCACCGTCGGAGTCATGGTCACTACAGAATCCGGGACAACACGAGTACAGGCAATGTCATTAGCGAGCAAGAAGGTAACACCAGATACAGGGAGAGAGTCTTGGACACCAACAGTCACCCACTGAGAAACCTTGTCGCTCCTCAAGAACATCTTACATAAAGGAACAGTGACTGCACCACCGACACCATTACTGGCACTTTCCACACAGGGAAAGGCACCTTTCAACAGAATACTATGGTTAGCAGCGGTGTCTCGCAAAATCCGAACAGGGTACCGAACATCATACACTGGACTCATCACTTGAGACAGTCCCGTCAAATATAAATGACTCGAGTAAATCTTCCTTCGAGTAAGAACTAACTGACTTAGGGTCTAACTTTTCCAGCTGCACGAATGAAAGAACAGAATTTCCCCTTTTATTCTTGAGCTTTGGGCAATTAGCAATAACGTGACCTATCTATTTACAGTAGAAACAGATCATTTGACTCATACGCTCAAACCTCGGTTATTTTTGTTCCGAGCCACAACGGACATTTACTTTACTCGAGGCAGATGCCCTTGTATCTTCAAACTCATCCTGCTTACCACCCTTGTTCCTAGTTAAATGACTTTGAAACTTAACATTCTTACGAGTCAACGCATAACCGTCTGCCAGAGCTGCTGCTCTTTGCACATCTGTAACCTCTCTCTCTTCCAAGTATAACTGAATGTCTCGTGGGAGGGCTCTCTTAAATTGCTCTAAAATGATCAACTCAATCAACTCTTCATAAGAGCTTACCCCACTACTCTTATCCGTCTTCCAAACATCTTACAAAGACGGTACATGAATTCATTATATGACTGTGACTCTAGTTTTCTCTCATTTCTAAATTTCACTCTGTAGTGTTCCGAAATCAACTCATAGACCTTCAAAATAACCTCTTTAACCTCTTCATAATTTAAAAAAAAATTTCAGCCGATAAAAAAAAAAGACTGACCTAGCTGCACCTTTAAACACAGTCTAAATCACTGCCACCCAGGATATTTCAGGCCACTTGAATGACTTAGCTACCTTCTCAAACTGCCGGAAAAGTTCTTCTGGGTCATCTTCGTCAAACTGAGGTACTAGTCACAAATGTTTAGTGATGTGAAACACTGACTGATCACAGTCCTGAATACTGTCATTGTTGCTAGGCCTTGCTACTGCTACTCTACCTTTCACCTCAAGGGTTTTTTGCTTTCCCTCCTCCATGGCTAACTCATGTGCTCTCTTTTCCTAATATAACCTTAACTCATGTTTTATGCTTTTTCTTCTCTATGGCGAACTAATTTGCTCTCATGGCTAACTCATTTTCTTTCATGGCTAACCCATGTTGCATCATCAGCTTTCGCAATTCTAAACTATTCCTAATGTCCACACTAGTTCCAGTATCAAATACACGTAACCAAAGGGCGTCCTCTGAAATAATTTCTTCCCGCACCAGCTCTGTAAGTACAGCATTTTGTATTGCTGACTTACGCTGACCCTTATGGACGATAATTCCATAATGGCTAGCACTGTTAATCCAGTCTATTTTATGTAACTGATCGGGGCAAGGAACCTCTAGTGAGGGATCATTAACGAGTCTTTCCAGGGAAAACATGATGACGGACCAAATCAAATGACACGTCACTAGGTTACACACAAAAAATCACGGTAGGAAAACAACAGAACATTTGATTAATATCAGTCACAACACATTACACAGCAATGTCATATAATGATGGTGTTTGTTTCCAACCTGTAACTTGACACATTATCCTTAGACTCCCTGGTCAAGCCTCCATTAATTATTTTACGACCCTTGGGTAGATCGTTATATAAACACAAATCACTTAAGACTTTCAACTATATCAGTATTATTATTATATTCATAAACCCAGGTTCTCCCAACAAAGGTCAAGTTAACAGGTCAAAACCGCAACAAGTCAATAAAAATATAAACATTATTTAAATTATTCCCACCATCACATATGTAGATAAAATAAAATAAATAACAATAATAATTCGACAAGATGTTTGGAAGTGATGAGTAAGAACTGAAGGTCCAACTAGATCACACAAAATCAATATCAAGCAAAACGAATCTCAAAAGTCAAATGCCAATTCCCAAAACACCAGAGAGAGAGTATACTACTTACCTTAAGACAGCTGTGCCTAGACTGACTAGATTGTACCGGTAGGTCACCGACGTCACCTCTCTACCGCCAAATACACCTTTTCACAGAGCCGTTGAGACATTGTTGCATAACTATTTGACAAATTCCATAACCGAATGAACAGACAGAACACATATCGAATGACAATCTAAAATAACTGTCGGTGGTATGTCATTCTCCAATTGTTACATTCTCAAAGTATATGTAGATTGTCGGTTTATTGTTCACGTCTGTCAACTTCTAACTTATGTCAATCATCTCCGTTAGCATGAACGAACAGTTATTTTACATTGTCATTCGATATGTGTTCTGTCTGTCATTTGGTTATGAAATTTGTCAAATAGTTATGTAACAATGTCTCAACGGATATGTGAAAAGGTGTACTGACGTACTATATCCTGATTGGCCAAAACGTAAACTTTAACTAAATTACCTATTGACATTAGTTCCAGTTATCTTACCTATATACAGACCTAATAAAATAAAAACAATACAATAAAACACAATACAATGTAATAAATAAAGTTAATACTTATATAAGGGCTTAGTTGGTGTGGGTGAGTAGTGAGCGAAGCTGCTCGAGACACCCACACACCATCCGAAACAACGAATTTTATACAAAGAACAGAAACTAATGGCGGACACTCGTAACACTGGAGCTGTGTAAGTGTGTCTCTCTGTTGCAGCGCTCCACCACAGACTTTTCGTTTGGGGTTTACTCCCGTAGCCTTGTACCTATCAGGGTTATTCTGCAAGGCAGCGGGTTTGTTGTTGGTAGGCGCCAGGACGTGTCCACATGCCAGTGGCCTGTGACCCGTCCCTCTGAGGCCCACTGCTGCCTGGAGATTCCCTGCTGGTCTAGACGAGGCACCCAGTTACCTTGTGTTACCACGAGGAGGTACAGCAGCAGTCTTGACGGTGAAGACACTCTGTACTGGCAAGGGAGGACTTATACAAGTCGCATCCCTGTTCGCTATGAGGGCTAGCCAACGGCGGTAGCTAAAAGCAAAAGAGAGCTAGCAGTGCTCGCACCTTAACACTCATATAATGATGCCACACTAGACGCATTACACCACCTGGTACACACACACACACACACACACACACACACACACACACTATAAAATTCTATAAACAAGTTGAAAGGGCAGAGAGGTCCAGCCATCACCGTTATGTACGTCAAACAATAGAACAAAGGCATAACTCGGCTGCTGTGAGGACCAGAGCACCACAGAACCACTACTGGGATCATCTGACGGAGTGTTAAACTTAGATGTTCACGAAGATATGAAAAAATATTCCTTGCCGTATCGTTTGGCTGTAGGTCGTCACATGTCACTGGGAACTATGAAGACCTTCACTTTGTCTTGAAAAACATGGCGCTTCAATTAAGAATAAGAGTAATGCAGCGATAAACTTTCTTTTTCATTTGATCTGAAGGAAAATTATTTCTATGTTTATATAAATCTGTCCACTCTACGTATGTGTAAAAATATGACCTATTTAGACTTATGTATACGTGTGTGTGTGTGTGTGTGTGTGTGTGTGGATAATATTACGTCCACGTTCAGTGAAAGTTAAAATCATAATATAGTATTTATATAAGAAATGAGAACGACGA